ACGAAATTTGGTGCAGATTATTTTTTAAGGCAACAATTTAATGTCCGAAAAAATTGTTCAGATCGGTTAACTATAGCATATAGCTACGATACAAACTGAACGATCGGAATCTAGTGCTGGTATGGAAAACTTTTGCATTTGATATTTTCACGAAATTTGGTATAGATTATTTTATAAGCCAACTAAGTAATCTCCGAAGAAATTATTCAGATCGGTAACTATGTATTTCCGAAAAGTCTACGACCTACAATATAAGTGAAAAAGTGAACAAATCTGATTGTAATCTATGGATTGACAGTTTCATCGCTTAATGAATATTTTATTTCGATAAAACATTTTTATACTCTTGCATAATGTTGCTACAAAGTATAATAGTTTTGTTCACCTTGTATGTATCACCTAAAAATAATTGAGTTAGGTATATGTATAAATAATTAGGGTGACGAGACGAGTTTAATTCCGAGCGACTGTTTGTCTGTCCGTCCGTCCATATGTACAAGTGACAACTTAAGTAAAAAATTAGATMAATGTGTATCTCTATACATACACATGTACCTTAAAGAAACTTGATAATACATGCTCCTTTGCAAAAAAAGGGAGGATGAGTTCGTAGATGGGCGTTATCGGACTACTTCCATGCGCACAAAACGTCATTACGAAAACTATAAAGTGCCATTACTAAGCAATAAATTAAGATATAAATCTGTTCGGATTTCGATTTGACTTAGTACTACATAATATGTAACATAATGGGGGTTGTATGAAATTGATAGCATATTTGTATAAAACAGTGTGTCCTTGTACCTGAAATATGTAAAATGGGGGGAAAAACAAGCTCTGGACCCTGAAAGAAATTTGATTGTGAACATTGCGAAAGTAACAAATGTTCGTTTATAGCTTAACTTAGTCATTTCTTACTCTTTATGTTCCTAAAACAAAATTACTAAAGAAATATGTGTGATTTTTGTTTCTCTGTTTGAGTTAAATAATTAAAATTACCTTTTGCAATGTATTATGAATGTAACTCTTATCAACAATTTCAAAATAATGAAAATGGAATAAGAAAAACATATTAACAATTGTTTGCATAACTAATTTGCAATGAAATGATAAGGCTAGTATGTTTATAAAATCATTGTTAAGAGCTCTAAAATCTATAAATGTTTAGAATACTCAAAACAAGTAATGAAGGGCTAGCTAAAAATTTCAATAGTTTAATTTAGAGTATGTAGCTTCCGACACATGCACAATTAGTCACACACGTTAATAATAAGTTAGGTATTTATGTATGTTTATGAGGTGCTTATTATTTACTGATCTTGTTTGCGGTATTAGAAATTTGATCTTATTTTATGAAGGTATTTTCGCTGGCTTACCACTGCCAATAATAATAAAACTATACTCGTATAATGACCAATATTATGTGTGACATATTACGGCAGCAGTTGGTTCCGCTGACCTCAAATCTGAAATCAAAATTTATGGTCTCCGGAACACGAAAGATTTCCATATTAATACCAGGTTGTTCCATAAGTTTTATCGTTTGATAAGAAAAACAAATTTTATGATTCAAAATACACTTAATTATTCAGTATAATCTGTGGAACCCATCCCTGAAGTAAGAATCCGAAATGTCTGCAAAATGCGCTTCAACAGTCGTTATGACGGCACGGTTCCGATTACTTTGGCGGAGGTGTAAAAAAATCGAATTTCCGTATAAATGGGGTATGTGCGGATAGGAGAGCTTCTCCAGAGGAGGAATATCCAAAAATAATATAAAGATTACTTTTATTTTTTTAAATATTCACGATTAAAAGTTCAAAAATTTGCACTATTAACACATGGTATTTCTCTATCTTCCATTAAATTTATTCACGTTTTTCACCCCGTATATTTAAATATACACTCTAAACATTGAAATAAGTTCACATTTCAATTTTATTTTGTAATATTTCACCTAAATTTATTAATTTAAAAATCACTTAGCGAACTCGGCGTTGCAAAGGTTAGATTGTTTACAATTATGAGGAAAGCGAGCGTTGCCACATCTTAAACACCAAATATGTAGGATTCTTAACGATTTTTCTTTGTTTGCTTTTTCGCGTGATTCTTTTTTCTACATTAATTATAATAAAAAACACTTTCTAACATTTTTTAAGTTATAATTGAGTTGTGAAAACTTTTTCCACATATTATACATTTTACGTATAGATGTATATGTACAACATGTGATTTTTATTTAATGAACACATATAATTAAAACTCTATGATAATATAGTAATATAAAATTTATATATCATGTCGGGATGACTGAAGTACTTCCGCGTAGTAGACCTTTCTGCGTTGGCGCTCTAATCAAATAACGCTGGTCGAGCGAATACTCGGGGTAATTGAAGTACTTTCGCATAGTACCCCTTTCTGCGGTAAAAATGAAGAAAATATATTGAGTTTTCGTTATAAAGTGGTTAAAGTGGTAATACTTTTTTTGGTTACCTTGCACTCATATTGAAACAAAATTTGAGTTTTCATTATAAAATGGTTAAATTTTGGTTATTATATCTGTCAGCGATTTCCATTTATTTTTTATAATACGATGGTTTGTATATTAAGTCACAATATATTGAATATTGTTATATAATATTATTATATAATATTACTATATAATATTTCTTATTTGTTTATTAAATTAAATAATGAACATATCCATATGCATGGATGGAGGTCTTATACACATCTAGATGTGTATAAGAGACAGATATTACTTATTTGTTTATTAAATTTAATAATGAACATATCCATATGCATGGATAGTGGAATTTTTGGGAAAAAAGGAATTTCAGCGAATTTCCTTAATATCACATGGCACTGACTTTAAGGTCGAATATCTCCTAAACTATGCGTTTGCGGTACCTATAATCCTATTTTTTAATCAGGAGAACGTCCTCTTTCCAACGATACCTTCAAATCGCGACGCCAAAGAAATCGGAATTGTGCCGTTATGGCCTCTTCCTTTGATAAAAAAGCTTGCCACGAATACATTTTTAGAGTTTTAGAAACAAATAGAAGTCGCTGGGGCCCAATCTGGTGAATACGGTTAATGCTCCAACAATTCGAACTTAAATTCATGGATTTAGCCATTGTCAAGTTTTTTCCGCCATTTTTTAGCTGCTTCCTTTGATTCAAGATCGTGGTGATAGATCCAAATCTCATCCATAGTGATGAATCGATAAAATCGCATAAAATCCACTTTATCGTTTTTAAAACGATAAAACGATAAACGATAAAAAACCAAATGTGCTGAGAAAGTCGCATTCGAACTAGTTTTTATTTCGTTGTTAGCGAATGCAACACCCATTGTCCACTCAGCTTTCTAAATCCCAAAATTTCATTTAAAATATGGCTCACACTGCCTAATGAGATGTGCATAGGCCTCTACTAAATCTCTCTCAGCCAATCTACGATCTTCCAAAACTATATTCTGTATTTTGGCTATGATTTCTGGTGTTGATGCGCTTTTGGGACGTCCTTCCCGTGGATCATCTTCAAGGCTTGTACGACCACGCTTAAGCTCCGCAAACCATCTTTATACTGTTCTAATTGTAGGTGAACCATCATTATGTACTTTTAACATTCGTTCGGGAATTTCTTTTGGTACTACACCTTCCAAAAATAAGAATTTTATCACTGCACGATATTCATTTTTTTCCATTATAAAAAAATACTGTGAAACGACGAAACTAAACCGCTTGTAAACAATGAAGGAATTGACATATTGAAATGAAACTTAACATACGTTTATATGAAGAGTATACCAACAGAAAAAAATGTTCGGCTAGTAGCAACGCTCTCTCTTATCCAACCACAAGACTTATCGAACAACCTGGTATTAGAAACTTATTTGTTGATCCTCTGTCCTCGTTCATTCAGTCTTGTTGCTTCTGGAAAATAAAGAAATATTAAAAACTTGAAATAACCGATGTACATTAATAAAAGCTTTTCCGCAATTAGTTCACAGTCACATCAATCATCATAGTTTTATAACATCATTTAAATTCAAAATAATGTAGGATATTTTCATAAGTATAAAGGAAGAGGAGAAATGTTAAAAATAGAAAGTACTCAAATTAAAACAAAATTTGTATTTTGATTACATCATTACATGATTCAAAATGATGAAGATAAGACTGTGTCGATAAGGAGCGTGCGTCCTTTTTCGAAAATGTGTTTGTATCCATAATGTCAAAATCAAAATTGTTTCTTGTTTTTATCATGAATTTCCTATTTAAATTTTGATGATTTTGTGTTATTTAAGTTCCAGGCCCAATGCTGGCTGGCTCAACTGGCTTTCGTTCACTTTTCGCACTTGGAAAGCTTGTATTATCAAATAAGCGCTTTGAGATGTTAAAAGCACGGTTGCCACTTACTTAAACAAAAAGCATTGGAAATAGTTTAAGTATTATTTTAAATTAATTATCAAAATCCCATGACAAAGAGGCAAATCGACTCAGTCTTATTATTTTCCGGACAAATCCTGTAGTACTTATTTATTACATACACATTTCGAGAGTTATCTACGTTGTTTATGTTAGTTTGTCTGTCTATTCGGTGAAATAATATACATAGGTAGAACAGTTTGAAAATACACTGCTTTATAACAAATCACATAAGTAATCTTAACAAAAATAGAAGAAGAGAATCACTGGTTCCAGAGATCCTTCCTTATTTTAGAATGGATTTCGATCTTTCGCATTTTTGAAAATTATGCATACCTTTTAAATCTTGTTCTTTAACATATATTCACAATGGTTATTAAACCGCTAAACATTTAATAATTCATATAGGATAAAACACTGAATTTGATTCCAAGTATAAGTATTAACTATACTCCTACATATATGTATAAGGATTGGGATGATTGTGGAAAACTACATGAAATTATAACGTTTATTTTAACGAGTGTGGAATTGGGGGGAAATATTAATTTTTCTAAATATTTTCAGGTCGCGGAAGTTGGACTGAAGATATTGGATTTGATTTGAATGCAGACTTCAATAGTAATTCTTATCTCAGCAAGTAAGTGACAAAGAAAAAATATTATTAAAAATACATAAGTGTAGTACACTGGTACCTTTTCTATTTTAATAAATTCTTTGACCTGCCAACAGTGAATCCTTTTTATCATTTTCCCCGGCCCTGACAGTATTGAAACAGGAGCCTCAAGCCGATCAATTGAAGACTAATAAAAGTCCATTGAATACTCATCCTGTCGTAACTAGTAGTGGTGGACGCGTGCCAAAACTCGATAAGTCGCCAGCACACATAGAAACGGTACCAACAACAGAAAATACACCTAAGAATGCCTTGAACAACACTATTTGCGGATGTGGTTCACCAAAAACCGGCGCACCACAGGAAATCGAACACAACGGAAACAATATTGACAAGTCCAACGCCGGTGCATCCAACGCATTCTGTAATGTTGGCTCACCTTACAGAATCGGCGAAAACACAATCGGTAAAGTATAATGTTTCACATATGTAACTGTATATGCTATGCATAGATATACACACGTACATATATTTGTACTTTCTAATACAGCAATATGCTCTATTTGGTAACATTTTCAGCACAAGGAAATTCAGCGTCCCAAAAATTATCCGAAGTCGATGGGAGCAAAATTGAGAACAGTACTGGTCGAGGTGCTGCTAATGGAAATAATACCAATGCACACTCTGATGACCACAAGTAAGTCATAAAGAAGTATAGATTCGAATTATTGAACTTTCTTTTCGTAATTTTTAGATTTCAGTACATTTTGGCAGCTGCAACCTCAATAGCCACCAAGAATAATGAAGAAACTCTTACCTATTTAAACCAGGGACAAAGCTACGAAATTAAGCTTAAGAAGATCGGTGATTTATCGTTTTATCGTGATAAAATATTGAAGGTGTGTGAGAATGTATCAAAGATATTTAGCATGTTTTAAATTAAACAATTTAAGTCCATATCGTATTAATTTAATGCATGTTGGCAGATGCGTATTTATATATGTACATATTATATGTATATATTATATAATTATGAATGTCTACAACAATATATATACATACATATATATTACGAAAAAAACTTAAAAAAAATATTCTTTTGTGGATATAGTGCTTTGAGTACTTTCGCTTACATATTTATTTGGATACACAGTTATATATTATACAATAGTGTCATTTCTAGTTGTGCATATGTACTTGTATAATAAGTACTCATATTCACTTTATTGGAATTTATTCAACTAAATTGATTTTAATATGCTTCAATTAAAACAAATTGCGACAATATTAGACGGACATATTCGCACATCTACATAAGTGTACAGCGCTGAAATATGTGCTGTACAATATGTAGGCGACAGATATTTATCGTCCGCGGATCTCGGCGAGTAGACTGAGTTCATACATAACTGTGCTGAATATTTGCTGATTTTTGCTCGGATTGATTGACGAACAGAACAATGCGGCATCGGGTTTTGATGACAACTATCTAACTGTACTTTAAGATAGTAAGTGGTTCTGCCCACAGTTGTGCTGAGGAGTGAATTGTACCTACTCTCCAATTGACGCAATCATACAAAGCAAAATACAGGAAAATATGTACATATGTATGTGTATATACCATTACTATGTACATGTATATAGTGCATATGTATATGAAAGTATTTTGTACATACACATATGTATGTAATTTTTTTTGTACTCCTTTATTATTATATACTCGTAACAGATCTTACTGACGCTAAAACGTTAAATTGATTATACTGTCTCGCTCTTGGAAGTACACTCGTATCATTTAATGTATGCAAAAGTATATTTAAGTGTGTTAATTTTTACAACTTATGTAAAAAAATCTTATTAATTTACTCTTACAGCCTAGGCAAAAGAATTTTGGATACAATGCACACACAGGACTGTAACTATGTATATCCAGGGCACTTACATTGTATATAGTACATACTAACATATGAACTATGGTACTATGTATTCATTTATACACTATGAAAAAAGCAGGTCCATATTTTTATGTACATATTTTTAACAAGATAATTAATTAGCAAAAGTTATGAAAAGCGGAAATATGATGAAAGTAGAAATTAAAATAATTTATTATTATATTCCTTAAATAGTAATGTGGTATTAATAAAAAAAAACCATTCTTTCATATTATTAAAACCAAAAAACAAAAAAAACGTTAGCAAGCTAAATACACTTCACAATTGCATTTATCTTAGTAACTACATATGTGTTCAGTTTGTATGGAAGCTATATGCTATAGTAATCCGATCTGAACAATTATTTCGGAGATTATATTGTTACCTTAAGAAGTAATCCATGCCAAATTCCTTGAAGATACCACGTCAAATGCGAAAGTTTTCCATACAAGCCCTTGATTCCGATCGTTCAGTTTGTATGGCAGCTATATGCTAAAGTGCGCCGATCTTAACAATTTCTTCAAAGATTACAAATGTGAAAGTTTTCCAAACAAAACTTGATTCCGATCGTTCAGGTTTTATGGCAGCTATATGCTATAGTCAGCCGATCTGAACTATTTCTTCGGAGATTACATTGTTGTCTTAGAAAATAATCTATACAAAATTTCGTGAATATATCTTGTTAAATGTGAAAGTTTTCCATATAAGAACTAGATACCGATCGTTCAGTTTGTATGGCAGCTATATGTTATAGTGGTCCGATATCGGAGAAAATGACGTATACAAAATCTCAAAACGATATCTTTAAAACTGAAGACTGACGTATATATACAGACAGACAGACGGACATGGCTAAATCGACTCAGCTCAACATACTAATCATTTATATATAATATATACTTTATAGTGTCTCCGACGCTTCCTTCTGAGTGTTACAAACTTCGTGACAAACTTAATATACCCTGTTCATGGTATAAAAATCGACATTTTCCTGAGTTTTTGGCTTATTCGGAATTTGAGCACTTCTCCCACCATCGCAGTATATAAGTAGTCTCTAAGTCCACATTATTGCTCTTTTTTATTCTGAATTCATATAGCAAATTCAAACATGCCGATCAGTGGAAACAATTGAGTTGTGCATAGACTCATTTTAAGTTTAAGGTGCTGTGAAGCAATAGGTTCATCCATAAATTTTTTAGTTACGTATCCATAATGCGTGCATCAGAAATCTGCACCGGTGCTACCGCTAGTATTATCGCTTAAAATACGCGGTTGCAGCAGAGATAAAGAGATACCACACTAATCTCTCATTGGAAGTGAGAGAGCAATTGCTAAACGGTAAAGCCTCCTGAACTTGGAAAGTTGACTTTAATTTAAATGCACAAAAATTATTTTTTTTCTATTTGGCTACAATGGAAACTGTTATAAAAAACGCAAATTTTGAGACACCCTCACACTAGAATAAGTTGGATATCGATTTATAAGTTTGTAAGTGGAGTGCAACCACTAAAATATAGCTCTGTTCTTCTTATACCCCATAGCAGAATACAGAGATAAAGAGATCCCCAACTCTCCTGTCACTGGAAATGTGAGAACCGCTCACCTACCAAACTTTGACAGTTGACTGGATTGGGTAGGTTTTAACGTTTAGAAATTTTAACGACTGGAACGGCCAGATTGAAATTATACCAAAAATATATGTGAATGGAGGAATTTGTTGCCACCGTTCAAGATCGATAATAAAAATTTAAAACAATGAGAATTTTTGCATAGTAGAATTAAAAACATTTATTAATTGAGAACTAACAGGCTTAAATATAAATCATAAAAGGGATTTAAGTAGATTCGCCATATATTAAAACTGCAATAAATAATAATTCGCAGTCGTAATAAATGTTGAGCGTTTTAACTTAAATGCCCAAAAATTCTTATTTTGTTAGATCTGGCCATAATGGAAAATGCTATAAAAAATTTTTGAGACGCTCTCGCACTGGAATAAATTGGGCATCCATTATCCCTGGCAGAATACGCAAGCCGAAAATCGGCCACGGCGAATATCCCAGAGAAGAATGACAATACAAGACTATAATTCCCATTTCCTTTTGAGGTCGCTGTTTAATACTTGCTTTGTATGCATTCACTAGATTTATTATTCAAAATATTATTACGAGCGAGATATACATACATGCGTAAATATATTATACCAGCTGACCTCGCAGCCGTTGTCCTGCGTGAAATTATGTGTTTTTAAATGAAAAGAAAGTTGAATTTATCATTTCATTTTTTTTGTTTTTCAATGTAACGTTGCTTGATAAATCACATTTTTTGGTTTCTTTTTCGGTGTACAGAAAAGATGGTTTTCAAACTCGTGAGCACGTCACGTATATCTGACCGTGTGAAAAACATAGCACTTCCAAACTTCGCAAATTCAGTTGTGTCCTGTTGATCGTCACCTCAAATGCAATTTTCACTGGAAGCGGAATACGTTTGAGCTGAAATGGCAAATCGTTAAAACTCACAGGAATTCATAGAATCAAGCATTCTGCCCCCTTGTATGCGATAGCGCAGATTGCGGAACATATTAATGACAGTTCCAACTTTGAGACGAAAATTGATGCGTTGGCGTACCAAGCCTCTCCAAAGAATTTAGAAATTCACGGCGTCGTCTTCATTATCAAGACGATCGATCGATTTATATGAGCGCAAGTCTCACGGAATTTGACTTTGAATCTTCCAGTTTAAGTCAACAACATCGGTAATTTTGGCAGCTAACATAGCACGTGCACTTCAGAAATCGTAGTTACTATAATTTGGCCAATGTTCGGATAAATATTCCTGATGAGTTCAYCTTTCGTGAATTGATAAATGGCGAATGGAATTGATATCAAACCACCGGAAGTATCAACCGTAATTGACCCATTTCCAATTTTTAGCGAAGACGATGTAAAATATCTTAGGCAATTTTATTTTTGTTCGCTGGCTTACTTCTCCAAAACTTACACACACTGTACCATTCACAGTTCGCAATGACTCAAATGAAGTTGAACCGCGAACATTAATCGAAGGTAGAAACCATCGTCATTTTACGAATGGATTGTATAAATTCGTCCTAAGGAATTAGTTGCCTTCCTTTCTGCGTAACTATTTCTTCGACGATGCATTCCATGTATGTCAAGATATTTCCGAGTAGAGCAATGTTCTTGCAAACAGATCACTGGCGAAAGTTGAGAAAAAAACTCGTAAATGTTAATTTTGTTACTGGCAATGTTTTAATTGGCTGTACTGTATTCTCTGAGTTGAAATATACTCTTTGGCCATTTTCCAAATTAACTGCGAGACGCACAATGGTCGGAAAACGTTCATGAATTGCAAAAGTAAATATCTTACATAGCGCTTTATTGCAGTTCACGTATCGACCCATTTGATACTTGCTGATCTCATCTCGTTCTAGACCAATGTTGCTTCCTTTAGTGACGTACTTACAAACGTATTTTTCCTCTTACACCAAACTGCAGTACTCAACATTGATATCAGTTTTGAATGTGAATTAAACAATAGTGGGGAATATAGTACGATCCATGTGTTGTCAACTTCGATATTCACTCCTCTAAATTGAATGCTAAATGTTCTGCCATTGTCGTCTGGTGAGCGACGCCGATAGTGTAGATATCCATCATTTCTAGTTTGTGTTTTGTCAGACATACAAACCGAAAAGGGATTGTAATGTTCGAAAGGTCCATGAATCGTATTGGTTTTCATCCCTTCGAATAATACTGGATCTTTCTCTGCATCAGGAATTTCCACAGAAATGATTTCATCACTTTGATCTGGTGTCACCACCATCCAAAGAAGAATGAGTACGTGCGACAAACCTCTCTTTTGCCACTCAACAGAGTTCATCTAGCGTCTAACAGCACCATCAAACATCGGAACTGTTGTTTAAAAAGTTGTGCTTTGACATCGTGACGATCGATTGTTGATTGACCGCGATCCATTATTCCGCAAGTATGTCATCGCATCCTGGAAGTGCTTCTTGCATTGCCTTGCCTTGGAATGCCATACGTTGCTCGCAAAAAAAAAACCACCGTAACAAATTTCAATCTGCAATTGATCACTTTGCGTATGTATGTAAAGTTTTCAGTGAATAATTTTCAAAAATTTTTCTTTTGAATAGCCGGAATAAAAAAGCAAGCGACCGAAATTGAACGATCAAATAATTCACAAATCAAAATATTGAAAAACAAAACAAACAAAAATACACATACATATGTATGTATGTAAAGTTTTCAGTGAATAATTTTCAAAAATTTTTCTTTTGAATAGCCGGAATAAAAAAGCAAGCGACCGAAATTGAACGATTCAAATAATTCACAAATCAAAATATTGAAAAACAAAACAAACAAAAATTAAAAAAAAAAGTGTATGGAAAGGAGTTACTTTTTTGGAACTATCCAATTTTTCGACTTTTCCTCATGGAAAGTATAAGGTATTTTTATTTTTAAACCTTCCCCGATCCACAACGAATAACCTCTCAATGAACCTCTGATTTCATTAAGATTGGTGCATTGGTGCAGCAGTTCTCTTAGCGTTACTAACAAACAAACATTCTTTCGTTTGTATGGGAAAAAGAAAAGGGCTTTTTTAGGGGTTTCCCGGAAATTATTCGAAATTTTCTTGCCGTAAAAACTATCCTTGAACCTCAACGCCCACATTAAAAAAAGAATTATCAAATTTGCTTCAGTTGTATGAAAGTTATGAGCGTACATACATTTTGGCGATTCATTTTTATTTATATATGTAGATGTATACATACATATGTAGATTATAGAACAAAACATTTTTTTTCTCTGATATTCTTTATTATTATTTTATTACTAAATCTATGAATAACATTTTTGGTGCGGTGCTTTAACATACGAGTTTCCAAAACACATTGTGTATGTGTGGTCCTTGTAGTTGCGGTGCATCAATGCATATACATATCTGCCGTTCATCCATACATATACATGTGGAATTTGGAAAAAACACATGAATTTTGTCTTTAAAAAGGTCTGATATGGGTAACTCATGCATTACTACATTTATCCTGAATAGCTATCAAATTAAAAAAAAAAAATTAAGAAAATTTTAATTCTCTCCATCCTAAAGCAATCAATATATCCGTCATAAACTGAGAGTGTTTACTTTTTATAATAAATTAGTTTAAATTTCGTGAAATATCCTTATATAGGAATACCTAACTATATATCTATGTATATTATCGTCAATTTTTTATTTTTTATTGTTATAGAGTGTCATAAAAATATGCTTCCATGAGCGTCGCCTACAATTTATGGAACGTGAGCAAATGCAACAGTGGCAAGCTTCTCGCCCTGGGGAACGGATTATTGAAGTAGATGTTCCACTTTCATACGGGCTATGTCATGTATCGCAACCGTTAAATCCAAATTTCTTGAATACTGTGGAAATCTTCTGGGATCCCTTAAAGGAAGTAGGCGTTTACGTTAAAGTGAACTGCATTTCAACTGAATTCACACCCAAAAAACATGGAGGAGAAAAAGGAGTGCCATTTCGACTACAAATTGAAACTTATATAGAATCAACCAACTCTACCGGAGGAACAACGGCATCAGCAATATCGGCTGGTGCTTTATCAATTGCATCTACTTCAGTATCAGCTGGGATAGCAGCAGCGTCTATGCCGTCCGGTACTAATATACCATCGGGGAGCAACCACTCGCTCATTAGTGGCAAGCAACCGGTACATGCAGCAGCATGTCAAATCAAGGTTTGTGGTTAAAGTTTCATTTTAATATTACTCACGTATTTATTAATAATATTACATATACATACTATGTATGTCTTCAATTTAGTTTGACCATTTAACAAATATAACTTAATTTATGTTAAATGTTTATAAAGAAAATAGTTTTTGTAATAATAATTATTAAATGTTATACATACAAGTATGTCCTATAGCCCTTTAAAGCGCGTTGAGAGAAAAACTTTGTTTTTCTTATGCAATATTGATATATGTGCATATGTATTTATGTCTAATTCGCAATTATGAAGGGGACCACGCAAATATATCAATTTTTGATTGACTGATTGACCTGATGACTAACGCTAACAGAAACTTTTGGTTAAAGGCATCTGCCCAATAGTCCGACTTTTGATCTCGCTAAAAAATCATATGCCGGGTAATTAAAAATCAGGTTAGGTAATTAACGAAAAGTCTAACTCCAATAATATGATAATAATTAGTACGTGTATAAAAAGAATATCAGGTAATATAGCACCAGTAATAAAATATGTGTGCTCAATAATATTATAAATTGTATGTATATGTATTTTATTTCATTTGCATATCTCATATATTTACGAATTATTTTGGAATTTTGGATTTCAATTATTTTTAAATAGGATTGTTTCGATATTTTCAATAATTCTTGAGCCAAACTAGCTATTGTAATTCAAAATGCAGTTCCATTTAAGTAAATGCTACGAGACGGAACTGGTGCGAAAATTAGACTAAGAGCGCGGAACCGCCCACAATTCAGTGAAATCCCGTATCTCGGGACCTGATCGACCGATTTTAACAAAATTTAGTACGTAGTATATTTTCATATTATTCATATTCGAATCGAACTACAACTGCGATAAATTCCACTTGATTCCTACTAGTTTCTTTCCAGTACACAGATCAATAAGTAATTAATAGATCGGGATAAAATTTTACACTAATAATTCCTATAAAGAAAAAATTTGTCCAAATCCAACCGAATGGGTTGAATCGGACGAATACTTCCTTTAGCCTCCGGGTGACTTTATACCGAGTATATCGGTCAATATGTCAGTGATCTCAATTCAAATGAACTAGCGTGTTTTATTCATAAGAGAGTTCATGGATAAAATAGATAAATTTGAGCGAAAACTTGGCCTATCCCCTATATAGTTAATATCAGGATTGTCAAACATCACACTTTACTACACATATGAATACGATTTGTTTTCCCTAGCTTTGATACTTGCAAGTTGCAAGAGTATAAAATGTTCAGTTGCACTCGAACTTAGCCCTTCCTTACTAGTTAAAAACTTAATGTATAAATAAATTGCATTCAGAAATGTGTGAGAATCGAATGCAAGTAATTTAGCAAATTTATTGGGAATAAAAAGGAAACAATTTTTTTTGTAGTTTTTCCCATGTTTGACACAGTTTTTTATTTAATTAATTTTTTTTTTTTTCAATTTTTAACATATGAAATAAGAAACAACTTTAGTCTTACGAAGTAAATTCCAATATTAAATAAGGGAAACTAATTTCTATTCAATTGGGTTAATATTAGTATCCTGTTTTTTTGTATCCACAGTTGTTTATTATTAACCGCAAATATATCGTCATAGAATCAACTATGTTTTAGTAGAGAAAACTGGAATTGCTTTCCATTAATTTCGAATAAGTTGCCAAAGCTCATGTCAGCTAAATTGCCACTTTCACTGTATTCCACATTTTAGATCGGGGGATTGTGGAATCCACTCCAATACATTGATATTATTGATCCTAAACCACTCTTTTGTACACTTAGTCGTGCGTTTGGAGTCGTTGCCTTACTGAAATACCAATATTAATGGCATATTATCATCAGCGTCCTGTAGCATACATTCTTGAAATGTTTCAACATAATCGGTTGCCTTAATAGTGCCTATATCCTATGGAGCAGCCCAAACCGTTGTATAACAAGTAAGGAAGGGCTAAGTTCGGGTGTCACCGAACATTTTATACTCTCGCATGATAAAGTGATAATCGAGATTTCAGGCGTGGTTGTGAACCGATT